GGTGTGGTGCCTCTGCCCCTCCCGCTCCCTGCGCAGCCCCGGCGGGCAGGAGGGTTACTCCATCGGCGGCGCTCAGAGAGCCGTGGGACAACGTTCTGTCCCTGCCCGGGGTGTTGCCCTGCAGAGGACAACAGCCCCTTCCCTGCTCTGGGGCCCGGGGTTGGGTGCTGGTTGCTCAGTCCCTGCTGAGGACCCCAGAGAGGAAAGCGGGAGGTTGAGGTTTGCCCCGAAAACGTTCCCCAGAGCGAATGTTTCTCCCTGTCTTACTCGCCCCACAGCTGAGTTCAAATGCAGACCGGGGCAATTCCAGTGCTCCACGGGGATCTGCACCAACCCGGCCTTCATCTGCGATGGGGACAATGACTGCCAGGACAACTCCGATGAAGCCAACTGTGGTAGGTTCCCCACCTGCCCTCGCCACCCTCGAACCCCAGCAGGTCTGCAGCATCCCAGTGGAGCAGAGACGCAGCGTCAGCTTTTGACCGTGCTGCTTCCCCTCGCAGATATCCACGTCTGCCTGCCCAGCCAGTTCAAATGCACCAACACCAACCGCTGCATTCCCGGCATTTTCCGCTGCAATGGTCAGGACAACTGCGGTGACGGCGAGGATGAGAAGGACTGCCGTAAGCGGGGAGCCGTTAGGCGCGCTGGGGCCGGGGAGCGTGCACGGTTAGGGGTGAGGAGCTCAGCGCTGCATCAGATCCGTCGTTGGATGGTGGCTTCTCTGCAGGCTGACTTCTGCGGGTGGCACTGCCCCCGGGCAGGGGGCTTTCTCCTTACCTGGGCTCTGCACAGAGCCTCTGTCCACCGTCACCCTGCTGCCCCTACAGACACTTCTGTTTCCCAGTGGAAATGAAATCCTTAAATCCCTCAGAGTGGCAAGTTCAGTATGTGACGTGGATTTGCACTGAGCCTGTTGCACAGCTGAGGGATCCCGTGGCTTCTGCCCTGTCCCCCTGCAGCTGGTCGGGTCTTCCGGGGTCACCACAGGGCTCCACTCCCCTCCCGCCTCGCACACATGGTCCCCAAGCACGGTCGGACGCCTGTGATGCCCAGAGCCTCTGCTCAGTGGGGCGGTTTTGTGGGGCGGTGGCTGCAGAGCCCTCCCTGCACCGCGGCCTCTCCTGACTCTGCTTCTCCCGCCCGCAGCGGAGGTGACCTGTGCCCCCAACCAGTTCCAGTGCGCCATCACCAAGCGCTGCATCCCCCGCGTCTGGGTGTGTGACCGGGACAACGACTGCGTGGACGGCTCGGACGAACCTGCCAACTGCAGTAAGACGCCGGCGCGGTGGCCGGGGGTGGGTCTGGCCACACCAAAACCGGGAGCTCCCCCGCAGCCGGACACGTCTGTGCGTCTTTGCTTGCGGGATGGCAGGTCCCCGCTCAGTCCCCGCTCAGTCCCTGCAGGCAGTGGGTGATGGTAGTGGGGGCTCTGCCTGGGTCTGTCCCACCGAGATCCTCCTCTCTCTGACTTCTCCCTGGAGAAGAACTTGAGACAGGGAGTACTTGCAGGGGTGCTGCGCTCAGCTCCAAGCTGCTGGCACAAGGAAGGTGTTCGTCAGCCCTGTGGAGAAAGAAATGTTCCTGGCCAATGCCAACCCCACCTCCCCTCCCTGCATCCATCTCATCTTGTTTCTCCCCGCCAGCACAAATGACGTGTGGTGTGGACGAGTTCCGGTGCAAGGACTCGGGCAGGTGCATCCCAGCGCGCTGGAAGTGCGACGGGGAGGACGACTGCGGGGACGGGTCTGACGAGCCCAAGGAGGAATGCGGTGAGCAGGGGCTGGGGCTGGGTCAATGAGCCCAGAGGGCATCTTGTGGCCCCCATTCCCCAAGGGTCAGGCTGCCCTGGCACTGACTGTCCCTTCACCTCCGCGGTGTGCCTGGAGCCGGGGCAGGTTTCAGCTGCTCCTTTTCTGAACCTCGTGGGCAAGGCTGGGTTGGAGGCGGGCTGGCAGTGCCATCCCTCCCTGTGCGCGGGGCAGTGCTGATGCCTGTCCCTGTCCCGTCCCTCCCAGACGAACGCACCTGCGAGCCCTACCAGTTCCGCTGCAAGAACAACCGCTGCGTGCCGGGTCGCTGGCAGTGCGACTACGACAACGACTGCGGGGACAACTCGGACGAGGAGAGCTGCAGTACGTGCCGCCTTCGAGCTTTTGCTGTCGCGGGAGCTGTGCCATGGAGAGGGGTAGCGGTTCAAGTCCCCTCGGCCCCTCTGGTGCCATGAGCCAGGGAGCATCAGGCTGGCTGGGGC